CTAAAAATCAATTCTTCCTTTTCTTTCAGCTGCTCCCTTAAGAGATTGCTACAGCAGATTATCTGTCTCCATCTCCCCCACTCTCTCTAACATCCTCCTCAGTCACACCAACCCTCTCCAGTTCCCCCTTCACTGCATATCCATGAATCTTCTCTGTGGTCTGTGTGGCAGCTCTATCTTCAACATCTTTTGTGCAATATATTCGCTACCCCTCTGCACACGTCCAAACCGTCACCCTTGCCTCTCTAACTTTGCACTAAACCTGAACTGTCTCTCTGAAATACTAATTTTTAACCCTGGTCACTCCCAATGAAGATTTCGGCATCTACAGCTCGGCCTTCTGTCTTTTTGTCAGAGCCACTGTGTTCAAATCATACATCATAGCAGGTCTCAGCCTTCCCTTTCACTCTTGCCACTATCCTTATGTCACAAATCACCCCGGACACTCTTCTCCACCCATTCCACCCTGCCTGCTCTCTCTTCATTATCGCTCTTGTGCACTGTCTGTCGCTTTGGATGACTGACCCCAGGTAATAATGTGGGATCCAAAGAAAAGGAAATAACCATGAAAAAGAAAGTTTGAAATCTAAACTTTAATCTGCTGTAAATAGCCAATGCTTAAAATGCTCTAAACATTAGTTATTTTCATAGGCTAGAGCATTTCAAAGCCTTCTGTTGGCTGCGTCAACAGTAAACACCTGAAAATAATCTGCTTCCTTGACAAAATTCTGTCACCACATGTAAGACTCCAGTGTGTGTGCTGCTAACAGTGAGGTGAAACTACTTAATTCACTTTGAAGAAGTCTTTGAGCACATTATGGACTTCTGTATAATGTTGCACCTATGATTTACAGCCCTGACTTGTTCTTCAGCAAACCATAAAGTGAGGCTCATTGATATTCTCATAGAGTTACATGTTTTTCCATTAAACTGCTTATCCACATGGGGTTGCACAGAGGTGCAGCTAGAAGGGGGTCAAGGGGTGGACTTTAATCCAGCTGATGTTGGGAGAGATGTTGAGCACACACTATAGTGTTAAAGGTTGTTCTCCAAACCAAAATCATGAAAAAAAATATTACTTTTTAGAGATGCAGCATAAAAAAGGGAACGTGACTAACAACACATCACATTATCATGATTACATAAGTGAGCTGATTACATTTTAATGACAGCCTCCTGTTAGCAGCTGATCCATGGTACTGAATTTAAAGATGCCTTGTTCAGCAAGGATCAGTGACAGCAGTTTTTGATAGACAGCACAAGGCATTTAAAATCTATTTTCCCACCACAGATATTCCTGGAAATGGAAACATATTGGCTGTAGATCTACTTATGACAAGACACACTGAGGAAATAGGAAAGCACAGAACATCCCCAGAGAGAACAATGTATTCATGCTCCTAAAAACTACTTGCATCCTCAGTAATGGGTAGAAGATATATTTATAAGCATCCATCTCCCAGCCCTATAACCACTTAGCCCATACAGCTCATGTTAAAGGTTTTTAATGGTCACTTACCACTTTTCCTGACATCATTGCAATTTAATAAAGGGACTCAGCAGGGCTCTAATTGGTAGACTCCACAAAGGCAAACATAAAATGTTTCCTTCAGAGACCATTTGATCCTCATGCCAGGTACGTGTATGAGTGCTTTCACTCGCATAACATACTGAGACACTCCCCTTCCCCTTATGTTACACTTCCTTGATACTTTTGGCAATTTCATTTCCAAAGACTGAATCACAGAGAGCATGAACACAGTTCAACAGGAAGATTGCCAATTATAGTTAAACTCTGATAAGGATTTTTGCATTTTATAAAGAAATTGGGATGCGGAGGAACCTTTTTTGAAAAATAAAGGTGCAAAACCACTAGACATAGTAGCTGCAGTATGATCCTAAAGAGCTCCGTTTGGTTTTGAGGGCTGTATTTAGGCAAGTGCACAAATGCAGATGTCAGAAAAGCAAACTCTGATCAGAGAAATAATAGTTTAAGATCTTAAATATTTTATAACATATATGTACAGCTTGTACTGCAAGTAGTTTAGGCCACAGTTTATAATCATGACAATGCATAGTTTGCTTAGGCTCATTAATTACAGCACATAAAAACCATTCAGGTTCACAGCTTTGTCTTGGGTTAATAGCTGTTTTGACTTCCTCTTCCCACCACCACCATGAGGTTTCTCACTTTTCTTCCATAGTAAATTTTCCTCTTTTTCCACTGTTAAAGTTTCATCTTCTCCTTCTCTTTCTCTCCTACCCAACTCTCCTTTACTCTCTTTCGCTGCCCTGCTCCTGTCCCTCCTTCACATAATCCTGTGTTCTTTGGCTTGCTTGATTAGCTGAGGCAATAAACACACGAACCCACAGGATACCTCCAGAAAACTCCTCAACATGATTACTGCAGAGTCAGGAGGAACACCACATGCAGGAGGCCCGCGCGCTATAAAGTCTGATTTGCTTAGAGGTGTGTTTGTGTGCACGGGGGCTTGGCACCATAGCGGACCGTAAATGTTTGAGGGTTTGCGTCAACAAATTTGTGCGAATCTTGTTAAAAATTATGCAATCACTTAAAATGCCCGTAACATTATGACCGGCTACCTGAAAGAAACACACTGTTGTATAATAAAAAGCCTGTTGTGACTATCTGCTGTGTATCAGCCAGTAAGTAAGCAGAAAATTCATGATTTGGGGATCCTTGCATCTATGTCTCGCTGTATAATTTGGTAAATGGATGCGTTCCTTCTCCAATTCTTTTATGATCTTGATGACAACTTATTCCTCGGTGCTTGGTGTTGTCAGAGTTTCTCTCTTGACCCTTCACTGGAGGAACTCAGCTGGTGTATTGACAAGGGAACTACTGGCAGCTCCCCAGTTTTCAATAGGCTCATTATTAAAGCAGCTCTCCGTAGACTACCTAAGCCATAATTCTGCAACCACAAAGGATTCATAAAAACTCTTTGGCAAAAGTCAGAAACCACGCTGCAGCACGCACATGAGTGGAACTATGTGTGTTTTAATGGCATCAGTGCATAAGCGCCCGCCACACGTGAGAAACTTTAGACAGTATTTGGCTCTGTTGAGGGAAAAAAAGGAAGGAAAAAAAAATCAAAATTAGGCGCCCACGTATAACAATGCACATTTCAAAATTCTATCGTAAAAATGTAACACATTAAAAAAAAAAAAATTTAAAAATCAAAGTCACATGCAGATACACATTCATGTTCCTGCACGGGCACGCCTGCAGCTTCAGGATCTGATTTGAATTAAGCGATCTAAATGGTGGCGAGAGTTCTGGTTATCACATTCATTAGATGCAAACTAAACCCCAGCCCCTAAAGCCTTTCTTTTCCACTTAACTAGGAATCATAATATCTGAAGTGACACTGCTGAAATTCTGGCCATTCAGTCTTGTGCAATTTAGTGGTTGCACTGTATCGTTCAGTCTCCATGTGTTTCAAGTTTTTACAGGAAAAGGAGGAATAAGATAACAAAAAACAACAGGAAAGCATGCGTAATGCTGCTGATTCTCAGTCCCTACAAAATATGTGCACCTCTAAGGCTGGAAAGTATGGCTTATTTATCTACTGAAACTACTGCCAGCTAGTTTTCGCCGTTTTCCCTGCAAAGGTTGCTAAAGTTGAACAGCTCCTGCGAGAGGTTTTTATGTGTGTAAAACACTCTCTTGCTTGGAAACTTGATTTTTTTTTAAAAAAAACAAAAAAACAGTAGTGTGTCCTGGATCGCTCTTTCGCTTTCTCTCTCTCTGTTGGGCTCAGTCTCCTTTCCTTCGTCTTCCACCACTTTCTAACTGTCTCACCACGTCTTGCTCGCTCGCCCTCTCTCCAATTTCCATGCCTGTAACTTTAACGCAGATGCCAATCCTGCTCAGTCCATTTAAACTCACTCGGGTGCGCACGCACACACACACACACACACACACACACACACACACACACACACACACGCACACACACACACACACACACACACACACACACACACACACACACACACACACAGAAGGCTCAGTCATTCAGTCTGTCAGTAATAAGGGGAGCAGAACCAACAGAGAATAAATCATTTTTCCGCAGTAGGGGCCTACCCCGAACAAAAGAGCCAGTGTGTGCACGCTTTGCCGTGTGTTTTAGAGTATGTCTCTGTTAGTCTATTTACATATTCCTTGAAAAAATCTTTCATCTTTCATATTTTGCAGGCAGCAATTTCAATGCAAACAGAAAAAAAAAAAACACCAATAAACCAAGAACAATTTTTCCTCCGATGAAACAATCAATCATAAACACTCTTGTGCCACGACAGCTATTAAGTGTTAAGATTTGTTTTTTTTGTTTTATTCCCCACGGTAGCTGAGTTTGAAAAGCAAACCACACATAAACCCACAAAGCATAGATGCACCAGCATTGGTCCAGTGGATCAATGATGGAATAGATTTCTGCAGATTTATATGTAGGTTTATACTTTTAGCAAAATGTGGAGGGCTTGAATAAGATAGAGCTTTGCCATGTGGTCTCTGCTCTGTGCGAGTGAGGACCTGATCAGTCCCAGCGGTGTGAAAAGGCAGCAGTGCAGAGAACAAGACAAGAACAGACGTGCAAAAGCTGCCCGGGGTTTTGGGTGGCCTTCATGGTCCAGTTAATTAGCTTGCCTATGTGACAACAATATATTGGACACCAATATATCACGCTCTGCTACTAGAGACTGAACAGCACATTTGCTGAACGCGTAAAAAAAAAAAAAGCAATCTTAATAACCCTAGGCTTAGACCAATTATTTAAAAGAACGGCTGGTAGCAAAGCAGTGTCTGAAATCCCTTTAGGGTGCACTGCTACAGTTATGTCTTAATGGAAGCATTTTAACAGTAGCGTGGGTGTGAAAGATAAACAACCCATGACAGGATAAATACAGAGCACTGTTGTCCTCGAACAGCTTTAACAGCAATGCCTTCTTCCATTATCTGCATGTATTCACTCTCTTACCTGATGTAGTTTAAGTCCAGCAAAGCGCAGCATCTCTTTGCATCTTCTGAAGTCTTCTCCCATGCCCCGCTTTACGGTTAGCCATGTATCCTCCTTACTGGGAGTCCAACATCTGTAGTGAACAACCACGGCCCAGACATCTTCTGAGATGAGTCCCGACGGCAGTGTCCTGACAATCGCTCTGGTGCCAGTACACACCGACTTGGTCACCTTATGGAAAAGAGAGGCAGTTGAGATTACTTCTAAAGCCTTAAAATAAAGCGGAAAAAACACTGATTAATTAATTGATTAAAAATGATGATGTTAATCAATTTAAACACATGCCTTCTGATTATTCTTGCAGAACCGCCTCACCAGGACAGTTGAGCGCTCTTTACGATTCCGAATAAAATCATTATCCACATTATCCGAATGTGCTTCTACTTCTCCCTCATCACTGCTGTGATCCTGGCTGCAGTCCCTCGTCTCTTCTGTAGGTAACCTTTCATTGTGAACAGGGGTCGACAACATGGTTTCAAGAGAAGACCTTCGAAGGAAAAGTTTCTCCAAAGAGCATTTGTTAACCCGGGGCCTTCGGTTGAGCCTCTCTAAACTTGAGTACCCATCTTTGAGGCAGTGCAGATGGATGTGGCCGTTTTGGTGACGCTTGCGGTGGACGGGAAGAGGAGAACTAGATGGAGATGATGTCAAAGAGCTCGGTTCGCTTGAGGAACTGCCCTGGGATGAGAGGTAGGGCGATGTCTAGAAGCATATAACAAGAGAACAAAACACAGCAGTGTCTTGAGTGAGCTATTACATGGAGTAAAGCTTTACATTTATGGGACAGTGAGGGTTGCTTTGCTTATCTTAAAAATGCTATAAAACAGGGTTAGCACCATTTGCTTAATTACCTTGTGGAAAGCCAGCATAGACACAGGGAGGCTGCCGCGGCGGATGTGTCTGTATTTGGGGCCAGAGGACCTGCAGCTGAGGCAAGGACTGTGAACAGGGCTGGAGCCAAGGCTTGGACTGGACCTAGAGCTGTGGCAACAGTAGGTGTTCGCATTGGTACAAGGGCTAGACTGGGTACAGGAGCAGTGGGTGCTGCCAGTTCTGTTAGTGCCTGCATCCACACTGTCTCCAGTGGTATCCAGCTGGCTCAGAGATTCCTCTGAACCTTTCCTAAGTACTGGAATCATTTCTTCAAGTTTCTTGCCAGTGGAGAGCTCTGGATAAGGTTTCTCTTTAGTGCTTATGACTTCTGAGCTGTAATCGGGGCACTTATATTTTTTGTCCAAAACAGCGCCTTCCCCACTGTCACACGATGACTTCCTACACAAGGGGAGAGAAGGGCCGCTCAACTGTTTTGATTGACACATTTGGTCAGCGTCTCGCCACACTTCCTGCCCATTATTTGCATGTTTGGCTTCTCTGCTGGGTCTGCTCCCAGCGGACAGAGGCGAAGCAGACTTTGCCAGTACCGCGGGCCCAGCCTGTGTCTGGGTTCCTTCAGTGGCCATCACGTCTGCCTGCGGTGTCCTGCTTTGTCCTTTTGTCTCCCTGCGGCTTGGAAAAGAAGAAACACTTTACTGATGATGACAGAATGTAGAAGAAATGCTGAAGCTGGTTTCTGGTTCGGTTTGGTTTTAAGGTTTTTTTTTCTGAAAGTGGTTACACCTCTGTTAGAGCTGTAAGGATAAGTGGATTTGACGGACAACTATTCGTATGGTTTACAATTCCTGTTTTTCCTGTATCTTTGCATTTTGCACTCTTCAAAGATCAAAACAAGACATCTACAGGAATTATTACAACCACTACTGCTCACAAATTCCTGAAATCCTATAGAGAAAATCTGCAATAGAAGTCAAACAAATTCCTGTAAAACCTCTGAGATTCTTTGGAACCTTCCAATGTAATTCGTGATTCAGTAAGTCACGAAGTAACTGAAAGAGCAGAAAGAGGAAATGAAATTTGCTGGGGTCATAAAATAATTCACGTCATAAATTATTTGAAGTTATGGCTTTTTCATGTTTACCAACTCAGCTGCTTTAGATAAACAGTATTACCAAGCCCAGATCAAGACAGATAGCTTGTGCTTTAGCCACAATAACCCGCTTGTTTACATAATATTTATGTTGCATCAATTATGTCATCATTAATCTTTAATCACAAAGATCAATTCTATTTTAAAGCATGTGTTGCATTAAGCCCACACCTCATTTTTATGCTCCACCATAGGCACAGGCCTTTGCTGTAGGAAATGATAGCTTCAGCTTCTGCTGACCTCTTGAGTGACTAAGACGCCACATCAGTGCTGAGCGTGCTCTGTGTATGAGTGTTGTGGAAACAGAAGCTTGTACAGCTGTACAAACCAGCAGATAGAGAAGCCAGCAGATAGGTGACCCTGGAGGACTCAGGAATTTCCTTGATAATACGGTCGCCGCCACAGCTTACAAGGCCACGTGTGTCCCTGTGGGTGCGGGGTCTGTCTCAACCTGGACGCGTATCTGCGACATAACTAACCACTCGTTAGGCCCTGGGATTGAGAAACAATGAGAACACAGACACATAAAAAAAGGAGATAATATTGTCAACTTTTATGCCATTAAAACACATTCAGATAAGACAAGTTTGGACAGCTAGCAAGGTTAAAACAAATAGAAGCAAAGGATAAGGAGACAAACCAAAACTGAAAAACATATCATCAGCAAATCCAAATTAAGGCAGTTTTTAGAGTTTTCTTCTGTGTCTCTTTTCTTCATCACATCAGCTTTAAGAACTAAATGAGTAAAGTAAATGACTACAACCCTAAATCTGAAAAAGTTCTGATGTCGTCTCTCTTTAAATTTCGACCACAGAACAGTTTTAAACTTCGCTTCAGTCCTTTTTAAATGAGCTTTGTCCCAGAGAACCAGTGGCTTCTGGGTATCGTGCTCACATATGGCTTCCTCTCTGCGGGACCGAGCTTTAACCTGCATTTGTTGTTGGCATGGTAAACTGTGCTCCCAGGCAATAGTTTCTTGAAAGTGTTCCTGAAACCATGCAGTGATTTCCACGAGACAATCATGCCTGTTTTTACTGCAGTGCCACCGGAGGGCCTGAAGATCGCAGGCATCCAGTACCGATTTTCACCCTTGCTCCTTGCGCACAGAGATTTCTCCAGTTTGTACGATTATATCATGCACTGCACTTGATGAGATGTTCAAAGTCTTCACAATTTTATATTAAAGAACGTTATTCTGAAACTGTGATGAACTTCTGCTCATCTTTACTTCTGAAACTGTGCCTCTCTAACACACCCATCATTTTATATCCAATTATGTTAACAATCTGTTGCCAATTAACCAAATTAGTTGTAAAATGTTCCCCCAGCTGTTTCTTCTTCGTACCACTTACTATTCCAGCCTTCTGTTGCTCCCATCCCAACTTTTTTGAGACATGCTGATCCCATCAAACACAAAATAATAATAAATTTATAACATCTGATAAATTTTCAGTGTTCTATTGTGAATTTGAAAAAATGGTTTTGCGAAATATACAAATTGTTGCATTATGGTTTTGCATGGATTTATAACTTTGTTGAAACTCTGGTTGTACAAACAGCATGAACTGTGGGAAGACTCATTTTACACTCATCAACCCAGCTGAAGCAATGGCAATAAAACAGTTTATCTTCATCTCTTAAGGTATAGCACTTGTGCAATGCACATAGTTGTGTTCATGAACAATTCATTTTATGGCTAGCAATAATCACAAAACATTGTTCAATAAATCAGGACTCTTGGATTTCTCTAAAGTGACATAAAGAAAAATTCATTTCACTTTTTTTGCTAGCACAGTTGCAATAAAGTGAGAACATTTATGAACCATGTTACTATGAAATATATCCTTAACAGATATAGTCAACCACAACATGTACACATACTAATCGTGTGGTGTATGGTATCGTCATGGTGGCCAGCAATGAATAAATCCAAAAACTAGCGTCCAAAGCCTCACAATTAGAGTGACCACAGCCCTTTATTCCCTGCCAAAATGTGTGGGCCTCAGCAGGAATGTGGGACCGACACAGAGAGGGTGGACCAGCAAGACATTTAGAGTGTGAGTTTGCGGGAGAGAAAAAGGACTACTGATACAAACACATATCAAGGTGAATGTGTTTCATGTCTTTTCAAAGCTCCATGCTACTTTCAATCAAACAGAACTTTGGCCAAAGGGATGAAAAAGGACAAGTGCTCCGTTCATAAGCTGCAGTGATATCTAACCACCATACCACAACTGCTGCTTTGCAGCTTAACAGTTGCTTTTTTGATCGGACTGATTTGATAACTGAATACGGGAAATCTTATAACCTTTAAAGAAGCCACAGTTACAGAAGGCACTGCTTGATTTTTCCTCGCTTTACTCAATACCAAACAGATTTCACACAAACGAAACAGACAGTGCACCAATGACACGGCATTACTCTTATCAGTGCTGCAGAGAACATTTTAAAAGAATAAAAACTAGCTACCAGGATATGCCAAGACGCAGGATTCCCTAAATACAATTTTAAAATAAGTAGACTTTACAGTTTACATTTAGAGACAGATTTACTCAACAGGTAAAAATACCGTGTGAGCACAATCCTCAAATAGTGCTTAGAGGTGTGGTTAGTTTTTACAGATCATTTACAAAAGTTATTCTGTTTTCTAAACATGGGTACGGTCTGTTCATTTCAATATCAAGTGCAAAAATTAAGAAAAATTAATTTTTCCCTATAAACTATTCGAGCAATTTGCAGTAAAACACATAGTGCCCACATGCAATCTTGTCATTGTGCTCTCTTTGTAAATATCGACAGAACTTAAATATAAAAGTACTTTTTTTAAAAATATTTTAACACTATAATATAGCAGCTTCTGAAAAGACAAACATGCTTTATATAATATAATAATTTAATGAATCCTAGCAAATAATGTTAATATTGTGCTTATTAACCGAAACTCCAACACATGGACACAAACTGCCTGGAGCAGTCTTTGACATTTGCTCTACTGACATGGCGATGAGAGGAGACAAATTTTCACCTCACTTGTGTAATATTTTCCAGAAAAGCCTCAGCTACTGTATGTTTAGGCTAAGAAAATCCAATTCAACCCCCAAAAGCTGATATTACTATCACTAGCAGCAAGTTGTCATGGTACTAGATACGATTATTTTTATTACTTTGACAAAGATCGTTATGGCAGTCTGCGCCAATGAGAATCTCTCGAACCTATATGCGTCACAGTTAACCAACGGGTTTAACCAGACACATCAAAAGTTTATAAAATGTGCAACATTAGTCACCTGCCAGAGTAGTTCCCGCTACAGTATCTGTTGTAACGTGGTCACTCCTGCTAGATATGAACTCAAATGAAATGTTTCACATTGCATTTTCTAAATAATGACTACAAAAAGTGTTAATTATAACACAATATTACTAAATATTCCTGCAAACCTGTGTGTGCCTGCCTCTATTCACAACTGCTCTAAATCCCTAATCAAGTTTTGCCTGTATGATGTGTAGAGCACCTGCTATTGAACTTGGGTGTGGGTTAACAAACTCTACAGCAAGTCATGACAATGACAGTAATCAAAACAACACAAAAAAAATGAAAAATGGAAGAGCGGAGAAATTAAATATGCAGAAGACATCTTCAAAAATATAGAAAGCACTAGTATCATAAATAGAAACCACGTGTTCATCATCTGCTGCTTAATGTAAGTGTATGAACAAACTGTCTTATATCTAAACTGTGACACATGTTAGGGCATGAACCTGTCCAAATATGTGTCATGAGGGCAGTGCTGGGATAACACTTCGATTACTCAAGGCAAAAACCTGCACGCTGTAGCTTTAAATCCTGAGCCATGTGCATGATAGACAGCTGTTGTTGCCATCAAATCACTCTGAAATTAGCAACAGGATAGCATTTCCACACAGCGGTTGCTTAAAATGGATCTGTGTGCAAACAAAGTGAGATTTGGCATTCAACTCATGACTTATACAACAACTAAATTGTTCCTATGCGTTCAAGAAAGGTGAGATTTACAGACTAGAAATGGCTGTTAAACAGACAAAATCTCCGCAGAAAGTGAGGGTAAAAAAACAACCGTGCACTCAAACACACACATAAACACACACTGTTTAAAGTAGCTCTCGTTATCAACTGAACTGTGACCCTGGCTGGGAGAGTAAATGCCTCATCCAGCCTAAATCTCAGCCTAGAGCTAAAAGCGCAGACACACCCGCGCTGGAAATCAGGTCACATACTGTGACAAGTGCACTGACCAAGAAAGCACTCAATCACTTCTACTTCACTTGTTATTAAAATATTTTCCAGCAATCCTCATACCAAGCTTCTCATTTAACTTAAAAAAAGAAGAAAAAAGCTAAGATTACAGCATTTGATTGGAATTATAATGAGGCAATACTTACATTTAAAGTTAGATACGTGGCTCTGGGTGCTTTCTGCGTTCTAATTCTCCCGATTTACCAGGTGATTCAGGATTCCCGCTTGCTGTCTATCGGAAAGAGAGAGAGAGACAGAGACCAGATCAATGCAAGAGAGCAAGTGTGTGAGTGTTAAACAGAGCGAGAGTGTAACAACAAATGACATGAGAGATGGCCTTTAAACACCAAGTTCAGCAGCCAATCAAAAATGTTTTCTTGAGTCTGAGCATGGTTCCCAGAAGTTTTGCTTTCACATCCAAGTGAATGACACAACGTAAAAGCTGGCAGCGGCACAGAGTTTCCTCATTGTGAAATATTTGTGAATGGCTTCTTCTGTCAAGAGGTGTGTGCTATATGTCAGTGTTTTGTTTTGGGGTTGTTTTTTTGTTTTTTTTTTGGGGGGGGGGGGGGGAGATAAATGATGATCACTTCTTATCTCTAAAGTGAAACTACTTCTATGCCTACAGTATATTCATTAGGACATTAATCTTTGTAGAATAAAAAACAAAGTGGGCCTGTTTCTCAACCTAAAGTCACATCCTGAAGTTTTCTTAGTGCCATAAGGCTCCCAGAAACCAATACCGAATATTTACAGTTTTAGACATGATGACAAACAATAAAGTAAGAAGTTCAACAATTGAATGAACTCTTGCAGTTATTGAAAGCTCGCATTTGTTAACACGACCCAAGGAAAACTTGTGAACATCAACCACAACAGTGCAAAGGCTGAAGGTTTCTTTCTATATACAACTCTATGCAATAGGATTCATTATTTCCCATGCTGCAATAAAGTGCAACACATGGTGATGAAAGCAAAAGGGTATGATCTCAGCACCTCTGAAAGTCCTGAAAAAAAAAAAAACTGGTCTAATCACAGTCAGATGGTTGACAAAGAGCTGAGTATGTGTTTTTATGTGCGTTGGCTGTTCCCTCGTTTATCTCAACAGTCTGGCTTACAAAGCGGAGTGCATGAAATATCGAGTAATTGTCAAAAACACAGCCACGGATAGCTTTTGCTTATCAATCAACTTAGAATTAAAAATTTAGTCAATAGAAAAAAAAATTTTAAGTACACTCTGGCACAGAGTTTAACAGTTGCACACGATTTGTAGATATTTAGCAGCTGGATTTTCCCAACCCAGTCTTCCACAACAGCTTTTCGGAATTTAGCCTCTTCTTCTGTGTCTTTGTAGAATCCCAAACAGACATGTTGAGATCAGCGCTCTGTTTTGGCCATGACATCCATCACAGGACTCCTTCCTCTTGCTGTCACTAAAATGGTTCTGTAGATCTTAACATTACTAGATATATCAAAAAAATAGTATGTCTCTAGTCCACATTATTCTGTAAACTTATCTGGAACATTGATACATAGTACTAAAGTTTTTTTTCCACGTGGTACAAAATTGAGACCCATTTACTTTAAAAAATGAAGTTAAAAGATTTATGTCAAATTATTGTATTACCATTTTAAAGGCACTTCTCATATCAACCAGTCAAAGGAGACCTATTATTCTTCTCCTTACTTTCTGGCATATCCATTCATCTATCCATATATATGAGTATGAAATTCTTTGAAAGTTTTAGGTTGTTCTCCTTTCTAAACATGGCCTTGTGCGACGTCAGTTTGAGTGAAAATCTTAAATATGACAGACAAGTTTGTCTGCCAACCAGCTGGTCAAACCTTCTGCATGCAAAGCCAATCCAATCAGAACAAATGCTGGCCATAGGAGTGCGTGACGTAGCTAAAGCAGCTTATTTCGGGCACTAGATGAGGGGCTACAACTTAAGCACATAAGGATTATTTTGAACTGCAAGTTATACAAAGCTACTTTCATACTCGGAACATATGTGTTGAAGACAGAAGCAGTTAAACAGGTTAGGTGATATTAAATGAAATGTGAAATACATTTCCTTGAGATCTAAAGTTACAGTTGATTAATGGCCAGATAAATTATTTAGAAAAAAGCCAATGGCCTGATATTGGATTCAGAGTTAGAAATATAATGACAATTGGATAGATTTTAGATTGAAGAAGTATGAATCATGTGTCACTATATACTGCTATGTTAGCTTAATGCCATAATTGAAATTTGACATTTCAAAGTAAGCAACTTTCTTAACTGAAGACATTCCACCAATCAAAATTGTGGATTTGAACACTAATGCTCCTTTTGTGTAACAACTCTTTGTTTCATACATATTAAACAAAAGGAGCTGCAATTTAGCTAAATGAGTTTGTCTCAGGAGGTAGAACAGCCTCTGAATCTCTGGCCTCAATCACTCTATGTGAATCCCCTCAAGAGAGGGCTTGAGTGTTGCATAAAAGCCTTTTTTTTTTGTAATTTTCATTCAGGAGGGATTATTTCACAACTCATCCACACGATGACTCACAGCCCAGGATGTGATTAGATTCACCCTTACATGGAGCACAGGAATGCAAATGCCAATCAGTGAGGTAGAAAGTCACAGAGTGGGTAGTGGTTTACAAAAAAAAAGAAAAGAAAAAAAGCTCTTTACACTTGATTACTACTATACGATTACTTTTTAGACAAACTTTAATATTGCTTAGTAATTGGGAAAAGGACAATCAGAGAAAATGGAACTGAAGAAGTTTGAACATAAAACGAGATCTACATTCAAACAGACCTGAAATGCCACTTATCCTCCTGAGCCTCTAAAATACTCTGCTAAATACTGCCCAGGGAGGTTTAACATTGGATCTTTAGCATTCCAACAGCACAAAGAGTAGGCCAAGGAGAGAAGGAATCCCCTCCTCTGTTGTGCAGGGCGGGGGGTGGTCGCAGAAAAAAGAAAAAGGATGTCACAAGAGTACAAAAGGATGACGCATCACCCAACTGTACACAGTAAAAATCCAGGTTTCAAGCAGATTATTTCTTTAGTCACAAATACCTCGCTGATGCCAAGAGAACTGTAAAGAAAAAGAACAAGAAACACAAGGTTGAGGTGCCATAATGGGAAAGTTAAAAAGAGTCTTCTGGAAACCAACAGAATCATGAAATCACTTACTTTTGAAGAATTCAGGACATACTTTAGACTATATAAGTTCAAGCAAATGTTTAATAATGATGTGGAGCTGTGCTGGAAATTCAAACTGTGCTATACAGCCAAGTGCAAGATCCAGTAACAGAAACTCCTCCTGCAGTTTGCACTCTTTGGGACAAAGAACACCCCTCCTTCTCTCTAACATGGGGCTGGAGAAGAAAAGATGCATCATATGACTACAGCGAATACAATAGAATCACATTCCTTAAAGGTTTTCACAGTTGAAAAATGAAAGAAGAAAAGAAGGTCGGAGTTGGTGGGAAGATTAAAAAAAAAAATGCATTTCACAATGTAACAGAAACCACGTCTGACAAATAAAGAATGAATGTTTCTATTTACAACATGTGCAAGACATCTTTATTTGTGGGTCGGTTTTTTTGTTGTTGTGGGTTTTTCTTTGCATTTTGGGCAGAGAAGTACTGATCTGGCTCAAGAAATAGGCATTCATCCATAAGATGACGTGGTTCCGGTTCCACCCCGAAAAAGGTTGTGTTACAACCATGCTAATGCCCGAAGGTAATCAAAAGAAAAATCTTCTATAGTGCTTCTGCTGCTAAAACATTACGATATTACACAATTTTATCTTTAAAAAATGTAAAGAAAGGGAACTGACCCATACCAGGCAGGCAGAACTTTGCCAAATTTGGATCAGAAATTTGAAATTGATTTCCACTTGGCCTGTAAATAACAATACACTGCAGTTTATCCATAACCAGAATAACAGGATACGATCTCCCTTCATTACAGTAATTTAAGGCGTGTATCAACAATCATTCAAATCAACTACTGTTAAACATTTGGGACCTAAAATGAATCACAGTCCAGATTCTGATGGGTGTTTATATAACAAGAGCGCAGGTTATGGTTACGATGACTTTAATGAGCGAAAGTGGGAAGGTTTCAGATTCATCCGAAGAGGAAACCTACGTACACCGAATCCGTCATGAACAATCAAAGCTAAAGAACGGAATTTCTTTGATTCTTTGAGATTGGACTAAAACCCATCCACCAGATCAGCTTATAAACAAGCAGACAAGTGCTTGAGAAACAGGAATATGAATTGGATTATGGATTAAAGTGTGAACCTTCCCGTCATTAAAATATATTGCTGTCAAATTGACCTAGATAGTGCCCAAAGAGCGAAACAGAAATTCAAGTTTGTAGTCTTTCGCAGGTTAATTTAAATTTTACAGTGACTCCGTCTGTCAGTAAGCAAGTGGCTGGTTTCACTGAGAACAGAACAGACTTTTCATGCAAAGGATCTGGAGAACATATGGCTTTGATTAGAGGGCAGGGCAGAGAGAGACGCCAGTGGAAACTGCAGAAAGAGAAAAAGGTGCTGTGTGAGTGCATGTGTGTGCATATATCTGGTTGTGTGTCCAACGGTTAGAGGGCTGCTTCCAAGAGTGTTGTCACGGTGGATGAGCCCACGCACACTAGTGTAGATCTGGCGTGAGCGTGTGCTCGTAAACAATGGCACAATAAAAGATGACTCAGAAGTGGGATTGCTTTGTAAATATGTGTGTGTTTCTGCGCGCGTGTATCAGCAGCAACACAAAGAGCGCTGTGGTGGCATGACAAATGTACCACCGTGGCCATACAGCGCTTTGCATATGCTACAAAACTTTCACTATAGCCTTGTGTTCTCTGTACAACAACATCAACGTGCTTCTGACTTAAAATCAAATGAACTTCATCTGTGAAGTCTCCTCCCTGTAATCTGCTTTTTTTCTCCAAAGCACATAAAGTTTTTGGGAAAAGGCCAATAACTGTGTGAGAAAACATATGCTTTAGCGACAGCACCAGTCAGGATCTCTGTAAAGTATTTATTCTGTGCAGATAATTAGTTAATTCCCAGTTGTTGTCAAGACAAGCCCAAATCAAGGTAAGTTCAAACCTGACAATCTGAGTTAATGGAAAACTGGTTTAACACTCAGACCTGTTGCATAGGATCTGGACTGGTTGTATTGGTTTCACTAGACAAGACCGAACAAATGACATAAGCTTAGTGACACATCGAATAAAGCAGCGTTTACAAATCTTCAGCCCCATGGTTGAGCTCAACATTTTGAGGACTGTGAGCCTCATCATCCAGTGGCCCAGCCCTACTGGCACACAGCAAGCATTAATAGTCCGGTATGGCATTTGTGAGTTTGGCGTAGTGACACATGGAGCTGGAGTTTCTCCACCAAGAGCAGATATCTGAATCAGACATTGGGCTCATTCTGATTCAAATAGTGAGATCAGACATGGGTTATATGGGACAGATCGATTTAATTCCAATCTGTGTTTAACATGCAAGTGGTGCACTGGTTTGGAGGCGTTTCACGTCTGCTATGCCAGCACCTTTTGTCTGTATTAGAGGTGGAACGATCGACCGGCCAGGGACCGGAGTCGGCTGTTTTCCAATGTTCTTGGCCCGGACCGGTCGACCGGCTGGTCAGCCTCACGTATGCCCCATTACAAGCTGGTCTATTTCATGCAGCATACACATGCTTTATACACTGGCCCCAGCTGTTTGTGCGTATTTCACTGAAATAACTCTGCATGGTGATGGTTTGTAGAGGCAAGAGAGTGATTTCCCAGCAAAAGACAAGCAAAGAAAGTGTTTGTAAGTAACCCAATGTGCAGCATAAGTCATAGACACTCATATACACTTTATCAGTACTGGACTGGACCCCTTTTTTGGCTTCAGAATTGACTTAATTCTTCATAGCACAGATTCAGGATGGTGCAGGAAACATTCCTGCAAGATTGTGGTCCATATTGACATGATAACGTCACCCATTTGCTGCAGAATTGTTAGTTCGACATCTGTGATGACAAGCTCTCGTTCCACAATATCACAAAGGTGCTCTTTTGGATTGAGATCTGGTGACAGTGAAGGCCATTTCAGTACAGTGAACTCACTGTCTTCTCCAAGAAACCAGTTTGAGATGATTTGAGCTTTCAAGTCATGTAATGTGTTATCCTGGTGGAAGCAGCCATTAGAAGGGATGGACATGAACAGCAAAAATATTCAGGTAGGCTGCAGAGTTTGTAGGCTGCAGAGTTTAAATGTGGCAAAAACACATCCCCGCACTTCTACACCACCCCCGGTAGTCTGAACTGTTGATACAAGGTAGGATGGATTGATACGTTCATGTCATGTATACCAAATTCTGGCCTTACCATCTGAATGTAGCAGCAGAAATCAAAACTCATCACACCCGGCAACGTTTTCCCAATCATCCATTGTCCAGTTTCGATAAGCCTGTGTGATTTCTTGTACTTAGCTGACAGGAGTAGCATCTGGTGTTGTCTTCCGCTTCTGTAGCCCATCTGCCTCAATGTTTAGCATGTTGAGCAATCAGTGACGTTTTTCTGCATACTTTGGCTGTAAGGAGGGGTTATTTGAGTTACTGCTGCCTCCCTGTCAGGTCAAGGCAGTCTGGTCATTCCATTCTCCTTTGACCTCTGACATCAACAAGGAATTTTTGCTCAGAGAATTGCCACTCCATGGATGTTTTCTCTTTTTTAGACCATTCTCTGTAAATCCTAGAGATGGTTGTGCAGAGAAATCCCAGTAGATCCCCTTTTTATAAAATACTCAGATCAATAACCATCATTCTCATGATTCATTATACTTTCAGCAGGTTGCCTTGACAATGTCTACAGGCCTAATTGCACAGAGTCTCTGCTATGTGATTGACTGATAAGTAATTTGCACTAAGGGGCAGTTGAACAGGTGCACATACTAATGATGATATGTTGAAAAACAAAAACTGGTCCAGTGGTCCTTCCTCGCATGTAGCAATCCAGAGTAAATAGTTTGCCTCAGACACCGCACCACATGCTTTAGGTGAAGGAGCAACCTGGAATGCAAGCATGCATGGACACACCAGACATACTACATGCACATCTGCAGGATCAAACAGACTTTGCACTTAGGAAAGTAGAAGGTTAAAGACCAGCTAATATCAGGTCTGACTGAGTCAGGCAAGGATCTCTGTACTTTACTTCCTCTGTACATGCCTGAGTTTATGGATGGGAGGATGCACAAGTAAACACCAGTTTTTTAAAAACAAGTCCAACCAGACCATTCTTGTCTCTCTCAGATTTCTATCTCAAGACACCATGTTCCCCAACTCCAGTCATGTGCCATGATGTGATGACGAAACACACAAACTGGGTGGAACTTAAATAAATATACAAAAACAAACCATATTAATGTGGGAAGAGGAAAAAGTTGTATTTGTAAAATAAACCATCCCCTCTTTACGAACGCTGTGACGTTCAGTTCTGTCAATATCCATCTAGTTCAATTTCATGGTGATTTTTTTTCCTCTGGCCAGAAAAAGATGTACTTATTAGCTCAAAACCACACACTACTGATGTAGAAGTATGTATCTCACTATATGCTTGCATTTCTCACTGTGGCATGTTGTGTGCACTATTATCCTTATATATCCTTGCATATTTATTTACTTTCAAATGTATGTGTGTCCTTCCTGTTTCTCGTTCATTTGAATGCGGAACAGATTCACATGAAGCATCATCACATGCAACTGAGGTTGAGGTCGCTTTTGCCTAGGGGTGTAAACAGTGACCTCACCTGTCATACTCAAAAATAACACACGTGAGAGGACACACACCTCAAGTAAAAGATCAATAATAATAATAATAATAATAATAATAATAATAATAATAATAATAATAATACATTAAAAAACACAAAGCTAACTTTAGATATAAATAAGTTATCCATACAAAACACTGCAGATTAAAGCACACGTGCTGCTTCTACTCGTTAGAAGCCAGTAGAAGCCCATTTTTAACACAGAAAAGTGAAACAATGTCAGCCTACATTCATTTCTAGCACTCGGTTCAAACAATGCAACAAGTTTTATTAACGGGCTTATTTGGGTACATGCTGAACTCCTGGCCATCAGTTTGGGAACCACGGATGCTACGAGCCAACTTTACAAACAAGCCGCGCGCCCTCAACCAAAACACTCACCATAGGTTACCTAAACTCAACGTGAGTTGACTGTTTGAGGACACCGTGACACAAACTTACTTACCAGCCGTGTCAGATCCACTCAGCATCCACCTAAACGCCGCACGAAGACATGTACGGCGCACTTTGTGCAAAGTTTTCGGTGACCGACTCGCTTCACAACTCTCGCCGATACAGTTGATGGAGCAGCTCGTGCTGCGGTGGGAAAAACCGCTTTCTGCTGTGCTGCATTCAGTGGCCCTCGGAATACTGCACTCCAAATGCATGCGCAACACTACATCAAACTCATTTTACATAGTGGGCTAAATACAGCCCACTTTGATGCTAAGTGGGCTGGATGTTAAGTGGAAGTCTCTCATTGTAAAAAAGTTTAATTACACATTTAATCCTTAGATATCTTAATATAATAAAACGTGTAATTTCAACAGGACATCTCTACTTGATAAACAAAAGCTGCTGTAGTAAATTAAAGACATCTGGCAGTATGACTCTTTGTGTTTAAGTTGTAAGAAATACTCGTGTAAAACTATATAAAACTTATTGAGTTATTGAGTTATAAAATAGAAAGTATTTGTTAATTCACTAAAATATAACAACATACATTTCTATTGTAAGTGGAAAAAAGAGGAACTTTACTGTCATTTCTTTTTCTTTCTTCTTCTTCTTTCTTTTTTTTTTTTTTTTTTACCAAATTACTTTGGTGTAGCATGGGTTTATCTTTGTCTGTAAAGATAAAACTATAAAACTTTTCAAACTATAGTTCAAAGTCCAAAATTTATGTCTTCCTTCACGTTTGCTAAAGCTGTCCAGTTGGACAAGATTGGAGTATTTCCATGGCCAATTCTGGCACCCACACCTTATGTTTGACACCCCTGATTATAGAAAGTATATCAAAAGAACATCCTGGGCTTTCTAGTGGTACCACATTCATGGGGGTTTAACTTACAGACAAGACGGAAATTTGTTTTTAAAATGCTTTTATGGGAACGAATTAGGTTAAGTAATAACATTTTTGTAGCTACTATGATTCTATTGCTACAAACCAAATTGATTCCTCAATTTGAGATTATGAATGTCAATTTAGCAGGATTTGAGAAATGCACAGTAAATTTAACCCTTTCAAAGCAAAACTTTTATTCATTGTTCTTTGTGGTGGACAGCAGGACATACTGCCTCTCATCAAGAGATGAGATGGAGGATGGCCAGTCAAGAGTGGGAAAGTGAAAGCTCAGACAAGAACCAGCTTTTAAGTAGCGTGAGCAGCAGTAAAAGTGATGGTACCTATCATCCATTGTGGATACAAAGCAATGTGTAACCTAGGGCTCTAAAGTTTTATAGCATTACAGTGTGTAGAAGGTGAAATAAAAGCCTTTCAAACTGAATTCGCACACATATACAAACACACTTGTATAAATGTAGAGTACATAATCAGCTAAAAGTCTGACTTCTCAAACAATTTGCTCTGCTCATGAATTTATTTTATTTATTTACTTTGCTAAAAGTGCAAATCCACCTCCCCTTTCTTTATCAATTCAGTTTGAAACAGACTGAAACCAAGGCGACCTGATTACCAGATTTATCAAAATATGCCAGAAAACACAAACCAGAGGGAGGTGCTCGTCGCTGAAGGCAGCCTCAAAGCTAAAAACGTTCTTTAGCACATCTGTGCCCATGGCATGACTCGGATACCCTAGCATCAAGCTATACTGGGTCCTAGTTATAGCCATTTCAATAAATCAGGACAGATTCTTCAAGATCAGGCAGTCCATCAATGAAACAAATGATCTTGATGTCTCTGATAAGGGTAAAGGAATAAAGCCCTCTGGAAGGCGATCTGCCTCAATCTGCCGGGATCATGGAGGGCCTGTGGAGATGAGCAGATGATTCCCTTCACAGGCTGGCGTCATGTTCTGAAGTTTGTGCCAGATCCCCCAACTTAGCCTACACAATACTTATCCTTAATGAACTCCAGGTGTTGTTGTTTTGCCCCAGCTTGTGCTCCTCAAAAGCCAGTATGTCCTCCTGACCTTTCACTTTCCTGCTCTACTGTCTGGCCCACCTTGACTTTATCTCCTGATAAGTTTGACTAAGTCAGTCCTTTCTCACTGACTCAGCCCTCTGTCATCAATGTTAATGGATCTAACAGCCTAACTATGGTGACCATTTGGTGTGCAGGGAGCAGTTTAATCAAAAAGCTCGCCTACGACAAGTTATTTGTTAAAATCATCTTTAGGTATTCAGATGTGTTTCCTTCATTTAACTGTTTCTTTCAAACACAATACTTAAATTAGCTATGAAATGAGATGGCAAATCTAAACATGTTAGTCTAGTTAATATAAGTACACTGGGTTGGGTCAACCACGCTTTTGCCTTCAGATCTGCCCAGATGATTTGTGGCCCAGATTCAGGATGATGCTGGAAACATTCCTCTGAGATGTTGGTCCATATTGACATCTTTACATCACACAGTTGCTGCTTATTTGTCAGCTGCACATCCATGTCATGAATCTCCCATTGCGTCACATACCAAAGGTGCTCTACTGGATTAAGATCTGGTGGCGGTTAGTTGAGTACAGTAAACTCACTGCAGCCTTTGAGAAGGCAGGGCATAAAAGGATGCACATTATTAGCAACAACTCTCAGGTATATTGTAACATTTCAATGATGCTCATTTGACAAAGTCTGCATGTCTAAATGCACTGATCCATGTTATTGGGTGATTACATAGGCATGTTAACAGCAGCTGAAACACTAAACCCAAAAAAGTGGCCAGTGAGTCGTTTGTTCGTACTCTGTGTGACTCAATAAAATTGCAAAACAATGAGTGCCACTGTTTGGCTCGTATCTCAGTTAGAGTTGGCAGTATGTTATCTTAGGCGGAACCAAGATCCGATAAAAATCCTGCCAAAGTAAAGGTCCAAAGCCAAAAATTCACTTATCTCATTCTTTTTATAATTATTATTATTATTATTATTATTTCACCTCTTTTTCATCCATTCCTTATCTGCTCAAGAATTTGCTCTACTAAAAGTTTACTTTACTAAAAGTGCTAAAGTTTGAGAGTTGCATCCGTGCTGTATTTCTTCCTTGCTGGTGGGGAAAGTGGATGGGAAGGCATGTACCTTAATTAAGCTATTATAGTATGTAGTGTTCTCTGGCCTACTCTGCTCCTACAATAAGATCTTTAAATAGATAATTAGGGGGTTGTTTGGGGGGGG